TGTTGACTGCAAAAAGGAACAAATAAGCCAAGGTTCTTTAACTAGGAAATTTTTATAGCTGAACATATCCTTTTTTATATTCTTCAATTTATTATATGAATTTTGGCAGATAAGTATCACTGGCATCTGTATATCATGATCCCCCCAAACTTCAGAATAGAAGCTACAGTTACTTAAAACTTGCATTTGAAATAGATTAATAGATCCCCTTGATATGAAATAGTTAATTTCAAGTAAAGGAGAATGTTTGCTGTTTTAGACCCCATGGTACAAGGACTTGAAATTTGCAGAATTTGTACTTAATGTACTGCTGTACACAATTTTCTTCTTAACTGTGATTCTCATTATGATATTTAACATGAAATAGCATTGTTTATTAAAGGTTTGAGCTTTGCATTTCAAGAAAGAGAAAAGTTTGGAATGATAATAAAATAGAGTTGAATAGAGGAATATGGTAAGAGCATTCCTATTGTTAAAGTATCAGTTTAATTTGATATATACTTAATCAGTTGATCTGCTGTATGCATTTAGAGCGTACTAGAAAATCTTGCACAAGTTACATAATAACTTTAAACATTAGCTGCATAAAGCTGCTCATATTTGTGGATATCCAAAGTTAGGGGTACGTGAAAGAAGAATGTAATAATTTATTTGTAATGAAATGCATTATTTTTTGTAGAATAGTAGCTTTTATATTCAATTATCATCAAGAGATCTACATGTTAGCATACTATTAAGGAATCTGACTTTTTGTATGAAGAACACCAGTTTAATGTGAAGACTTTACACAACATAGTTGATAATTATTAAACTAAGCAACATTATAAATTTTAAGATTAAAATTTTATAACCTTATTAAAATTAATATAATTCATTTTGGTATTTTATATCCCAACAGAATGGAGATACAGGAAGCAGAACACTAAAACGAGAAAATCCACACAAATATCTTCTGTATAAACCTACATTTTCTCAGCTAATGGTATTTCTAGCATCAGGCTTTAAAGAACTTCCAGCCAATGGTGCAATGCTCCTATATATTTCTGCAGATGGAGCATTTTCTACCTCCAAGCACCCTCAGGACCGTAAGTGTATTGACATATTTCTGAGGTTTTGGTGTCTTAATATGGAAACATCAGGGCATATGAATCTCGTTAATCAAAAGAAATATGGATATGTAGTTTGATCTGTGATGGGATCTTTGCAATATATTTCAGCTGGTTATGATTATGGTGGAGTTGTTACAAACAGCAAACGAGATCCAGATCACTCAAACAAGCGTGTCATGCAGCTAAAGGATATGCATTGTTTTTATCCTGGGGACCTGTATGCTTTCACACGCAAGCCTTTGTTTCTGGTTGTGGATTCTGATAACTCGCCCGTTTTTGCAAATATGCCACACTACTTTGGTCAGCCTCTTGTGGTTTTAATGTCACCACAAGATACACCATCCCAGTTTCATGGTGAGTAAATGATGTCATTTTGCTTTATCTTAATGAAAAACCACTTCTAGAAAGTTGATTTTTCTTTTTCTTTTTTCTTTTATTTATTATTATTATTATTTTTAGATAGCTATTTTTCCCCATTTATTTGTTCCAGGATCCTGAGTATTGAATTTTTGTATTGTAATATGAAAATATCAAAAGTCAGCATTTTAGTTGGTGTTCAGCTTCATGTATGTAGCAATGAATTCGGACCTTCCATAACCTATCTTTTGATCACTTTATTTATTGCTACTTATAGGTGTTTACCCCAAGAAGCTGACTGTTTTTCATTGCAAATTGTCATAAATCATTCACATGCATTTGTTGTATGGTATCAGTGCATTTTTTAAACAGTCACCATTTAATGTCTATATGAAATGTCATTATCAGATGATGCTTGTTTGTCTGAAATAAGCAAAAAGTACTTGCAGGTGTATCTAACTCCCCAGTTGCACTAACAATTAACTAGAGGTAGGGTCTAACGCTCATATAGTAATTTCCTCAGACGTATAAATACCCAAATGCACCTAACTGTAAATAACTCCAGTTCCTCTTACGGATAATTTTTTTTCTTCTTTTTATACAGGTTGTATACAGGTACCTAAGAATTTTATTGTGATATTCCTTACAATTTATATTTGAGAAGAGAAATGACAAACAGTTAAAAAAATCCTTCTTTGGATCACAAGGAAAGAGCATTGATATTATTATTATTAAATTTGATAATCAAGAAAGATTTCCTTGAAACAGATCAGCACCACCGAGGAAACTTGTTCACCTTATTCCTGCATTCTCCACTAATGGGCATGTGTCTAGTGAGCTCAGCATGTGAAGTGCCCATGAATCTGTGGGAGAAGTGTCAAGCTCTTGTTGATAGGTTTATCTCTGAGGCATCCAGATTAGTCACACGTGGGAGGAGTGTAGGTAAGTTGTAAATTTAACGTTTATGTTGCAGTTTAGAACACTTTTTTATTAAATCTTCTCATTGAATATGTAATGTTGTTATCAGTCTTGAG